TGGCCTGGAGACTCATGTGAGCGGACGTGGCTGAGAGAGCTCCGGCACGAGATCCTGATAATATCCTCAACATCTTCACTAATACTGTTTGATAGACACCTACGTACCTTCCCTGTAAACACCGGACCCCTCGAGACTGACAGGTACCGCTCGGTCATTCTCCGTTTTCTCGGGATGACGAGAACCAACGACGTGGCCCTCACTGGAGGTATGGACCTGCAAGATGGCGTTGGAGGTTGAGAGGCGTATTCTAGGACCTAATGCAAGCTTTGTACCCCTACTAGTTGTTAAGATGCTTTTTGGTTCTTTCCCCGGTGTCCTCTGTATTTGTATACCCTTCCCTAGTGTGTTTGTGATTTGATTGCTGACAATAATCTGTGCATCTGTACTTAATCATCTTGTACCGAAAAGCAACATGTCACTGTATTGTTATGTCTCTGCAAAACTTTAATAAAAATTACTTGATTTAAAAAAAAAAGAAGAGAAGATGGCGGACGCGGCACAGGTACTGGTTTTATGTATCGGAGTATTTGCACGAGTACTCAAAGTAAAAAGTTTTTGTTTTTTTAAATAACATAAATTTTAATTCTTTGTACCCTCTGACACACACACAGGGATTTCGGTAGGTGCTGCTTGTACTTTATCCACTCTGAAAGGTATATTGAATGATGCAGTGCCACAGCTTCCAGAGGACAAGACCAAGACTTTCCGTGCTCTGCTACAGCAGCTAAAAATCCTGGCTGGTCAACAGATCAGAAATGTGGCTGTATGTATAACCATTAAATTATCCGAATTCAGTAGTAAGTTAAAATAGAGTGGAATAAGGCTGATTCTGATGATTAAGGTACCTTTACATATGCCAATTATCTGGAATATCGGGACCTAGCCTATAAATAGATCAATCCCTTATTGCACTGGAAGCCCAATATATCTCTTGTATGATGATCAAGCCATTTAGGTAAATGGTAAGAACTTCTGAACATGCAAATGTGCATTTGTACTCACAGATACTTTTCAACTTGATGGAAAATCGATATGCTACCTGGATAGGTGTTAACAGTGCATGCACCACTTTATCTATTTATATAAGTTACAAAAAAAACAGCAGTAGTTACCATTGCTATTAGGGATGCACAGATACTTTTCGAGTACCAGTGCAGATACTTGGCATTTTCATGAGAACTACCAGGGTTGCAGCGGTTGCAGCTGGGACCTAGCTCTGGCACTCCACCGCTGTCCTGAAATCATTAGTCTGTATTGTTTTAGAAAAACTGTCACATGACAATAAACAAAAATCAGTATCTCGTACTTACAAGTACTCGTGTTTGTGAGTACTCGGCAAGTACCAGTACTTGTACTTGCAAAACTGGTATCTGTGCATCCCTTTATTTATATTTATAAAAACAAAATTGTACATTAAAACAGAGATGTACAAATCCCAAGAGCTCCGTGTGCTCCTTACAAATGACAGCTGCCTCCTAACTTTTGATTTTTTCTCTAGTGTAGTCTTGGAGCTCAAACGTATCGGTACATGTACTCGTACTTGTACCGAGTACTGTACTTGGTATCTGTGCAACCCTAATTGCTACAAACAACGGACTGATGTCTCCTTATCTATTGTCCTTGAGCACACAGCTATAGCTAGCATTACATTCCTTAGCTAACTAATAATTATTTGCTCAGATGGAAAAAGGGTTCCATGCCTGTGGTCTATTGTTCCTTGCAGAGATCACATTAGTGCCAAACATCCAGATGTTGCTACATGTATGCACACTGCCAGATCTGTTAAAGATCAGGTGGCCCACTTTTTTGTTATTTTGCTTTGTCCTTGATCCAAGTGAAGCCACAGTAGCTTTTGTGATATTAAGTTAATAATTACTTCCCCAGCATTTCTGAGGACAATAACATTGTTGGCATTCTGAGATTCTAACACCATTTGCATGTCAGTTATCATGTGTTCCAAGATAATATCCTAATAAAAGATAACTCATGTTCAGTAACAGTAGTCAAATATAAAGGCAGAAAAATTACTTGCATTGAAATAGTGTGTAAAGATCACTTTATCATAATATATAAAGCATTTGGTTGCACTTAGTAGATAGAAACAGCTGCATACATTTCTAGTAATTGAAATAGTTTTATATATGAAGCCTTTGGTGATAAGAGGTGCCAACAACATCGACCAGCGCTCCCCCCTCCATTCACTTAAAAACAAATGTTTGGCTGAAGTGAATACAGTAAACTCCTCGCTATCCGGCATCCACGGGGATTGGTAGATTCCAGATAAATGTAGTTTCTATTAAAAATAGGTCTTACTATTACTAGAGTTACTATTAAAAATAGGTCTAACTAATGCCATATACTATACCATAACATAAACTCTGTATTGACTTCATATTAATATTGAAATGCAGTAATCAAAAGCAAATTAAGACAAATAGACACACTTAATACAAATGAAGACAAATAGGCACACGATCGTGTACAGGATAATACATGCTGCAGAACAGCGAGTAGACAGGATTTAATTTTTTTCCCGGTTAGATGAGCGTTCTGGTTAGTTGAATACCGAATAACAGAGAGTTTACTGTATTTGTATTTATAGATTTGCCAGATGAATGCTGTTTTTGATGGTGATTGGATACTGCCTTATCTTTACTGCTATAACTGGCTATGATGAGATCAGGAAAGTTCATATATCTATGGTCACTTCTGACCTTTGCAAACTTAATCTGGCTGACCTAGACATTGAAGGAATCTACCATGAGTTGGGTTGGATTTTCCCAATTTGTTTCTGTGTATTCTTCACATCTGCACATTGGACTACAGGTTAATAAGAACCTCATCATATATATGTACTATTTTAAAAGTTATTTCTGTCTCATTTTTCCTTTTCTACAACTGAGTCAGTTATTGCAAACTTCTTTATCATAGTCAATAGGTGGACACATCATCCAACGAAACTCAAATTCTGACCTGAATCCCATACTAGCTGCTAGCAATGCTATACTTCATGTACTGGAAAAAGGTATTTGATAATTTTTTCATGAAAAGCTATCCTATTGAATTTAAAAGTGTCCATTGAGATTATCTGACATGTAACCTTATTTATAGTACATGAAAAATGATAATTTTACATTTAAAGATATTTAAGACACAGTTGAGAACTGATGTCACTCCAAGGAATGGCCCCAGCCTGCACAGTGATAATTATATCTTATGCTACATGTTATCTCTTGGCTTTTTGTGATTGTCAATGAACAAACCTTGTAAACTTCTACTTCCAAGTCACGGATTACATCTCTCATCTTTATTCCTGCAGTCCATGTTTTAGAACTTCACTTTCTGTTCTGCAGTCAGTTGAAATTGTGTTGTTGGCAGGCATAAAAGAGACACATTAATGTAGCACTGTATTTATTGATATACTGTATTAGTTTTTTAGAGAGCAGTGTATGAACCTGAATTTAACTTGGTATAAATCTTTCAGTCCCCTATAGACTAGAACTCAGACAAGGGAAAGGAGAAGCAATACAAGGAGGCAATTCATTGTGCCGATAGGTAGTGAGAGCAGAGTAACAGATGAGCTCATCAGCCTTCTTATTCTCCTTTCACTCCCCAGTCCCTGGCTGGGGAAGGGGAAAAACAGTGTTAATGTACCACAGCAGAGACAAATCAGGTCTTCTGTCCTGCCAGACAGCACTGAGCTGTGTGGCAGGGCTGTGTGAATCTCAGGACTGACTCAACAAAAATGCAAATCAATTGGCAGGATAAATAGCTCCTTTATAAGTATTTCATCTGTGTATTTAGCTGTTTGCCTGGAGTTCAGCATTAAAGTGATATTAAACCTTCTTTTTTTCATTTTATAAATAGGAGGATAAATTCACTATTCTTCTTTTTTTTTAAACTTCCTCATTGTCTAGTTGTTCCCTAAATCGCTCTAAGCCTTGCCTGTTCACAGTTGTCTCCATCAGCCTGCAAGCAGCTTAGGAGATACCTTTTGTGTGCTTGTTCCCCGCTGTGTGGCAAGCCACGCCCCCTACTACCTCCACCATTCTCCTCCCAACAGATTGACTGGCGACAGAAGGAGCCAAATCATTTCCCTGTCCTTGGTACCCTCTCCCAGAACCAGGAAGTTCAGGGAACTTTGAGTATCTTCCTGGACCCGGCAGATCTGACAAGCAGCCACAGGGGAACATAGAAGGGTACTAGGCATTTTTTACCTTAATGAAGAGAATGCACTAAGGTAAAAACACCTAGCCTCTAGTACTACTTTAAGCAACACTTACAGGCGTTGTCCCTCTTCTAGCAAGTGACTGGACAATAAAGAACAAGCACCAGACTGATGAAGTCTTCTCTCTGTCAAACTGCTCTCTATGGTCTGGATGACAAGGAATGATGGGGATTGTAGTTTCACAGAAAATCGAGCAGTGTTCAATTTTTTGCATAAATATGTAAACTTGTACGAAAGACAAGATTTGTACTCAGTTATGTTCAAACCCTATGCAGAAATAAGCCTTCATTCTAAGATACTATCTCAAAATTCTGTGGGTTTTTTTTCTCCAAGTTCTGACATATTTTGAATACTCTATCACATTTATTATAGGAGGAAAAGCTCGACAGATCATGTTCAATGATGGCTTCTTAGAATGCAATAATGTGTCATCTTCTCTTCTTCCTGAAGAAATTCTCCTTTCTGTGCTTATTCCATATTCACAAAAGGTAAGTGTTTGGAGGCCTTCATTGGAGATATTTTCTTTTTCCAGAAGCAGAACTGTGTTTATTTTAAAGCAATATCTTTACAATGAACGTATCCTGTGTACATTTTGCTATCCTCAGTCTCTTACTCATAACTACTTTGAAAGCCTGCAAAGCTTACGTATGCAATTCAGTTACAATAAGAAGTGAAGTAGTAAATAATGGTTGTCTCTTCTCAGTGTCTCTACCCCACCGGTTATGACACTTACACACTGTCCAAAACAAGTTGAACCAAGCTATAGTGATTTGAACAATATTGGAAGACATTTTATTGTAAAGTATTTTTAATCAAGTGGAATGTTTTTAAAATACTTTTGTATAAAATGCTACTATACTAGAGAAACTTACTTCTTTACTTTACTTCTCCCTATGTAATATCACAAGTACACCTGTGGGTTTGTGGACACTATGCAATGCACCTGGCATGATTCTAAGGAATTGTGGACCCAGCAAAGACAAAGATAGACTAGGATCCAAGAAACCTGGAGTACATATTAGGGATGCACGATACAATTTTTTACAGTACAAGTACTGATACTTGTCCATGTACTCACAGATACAAGTACTGATACATTTTTGTTTATTGTCATGACAGTTTTTCTAAAACAATACAGACTAATGATGTCAGGACAGTGGTAGAGCACCAGAGCCAGGTCCCAGCTGCAACCGCTGCAACCCTGGTAGTTCTCGTGAAAATGCCAAGTATTGGCACTGGTATCTGAACATTCCTAGTACATATTAACCTTCATACTTATAATGTCAGGACTTCTTTGTATTGTTTGGAGAGAAGATAAAAGCATAGTCTTACTACAAAGCTGCCCATTAAAACTATATATGTTACCAATTTTTAAAATAATTTAACTTATTTAAAACCTGTGCTGACCTTTGGCTTGCAGTAATCAGCCTCCCAAGGGTCCTCCTGAAGGCTGCTTTCATTTTGTACCATCTAGTAAGCTCTGACTAGCAATTTGGCATTTGTTGTATTGAAGTATATTATAAACTGATGGTTCTGACTCAGTTTTGAAATAATAACATTGGGACAGTAATGATGCTGGTACATAAACATTACTGCACCTTTAGGCTTAGCAAATGTTTCTCAAATACAAAGATGAATTTTGTATGACAAGATCCAGGGCTCTTTTATAGATTTAGGATGCCAATGTTCTTTGTTTTAAAGAAATGAACAAACCAATCTAAATTTACCCTACCTTCACCTTAAGCAGATTGGACTAATATTCAGGTGGATAATATTCTGTCTGTGAATTGCAGATTTCATCACAATTAGGTTTTATGTGGTTTAAGGGTTTTTTGGAGCATGGGGATACATGCTACGGCTCCTTTTTGAATTCCGAAGATATAGCTGCATTTTGGACTTGAAAATAAGCCTTGACATGTGTGATTTCTTTTTGTTGCTTAAGTCAATCTTCCAATAGTTTCTTTTTAATACTACACTACCATTCAAACAGGGAAGTGACAGAATGGAATTCTTATTTTTTTAGGGTGGCGTTAGATATAGATCCCTTTTTTCCCTCTTCCTCTGTTGTGATCATCCCCCTAAGAACGTTGCCCAATGCTAACAGACTCCATCATCATGAGATGCCTCATTCAAAACAAAATTTGTTGTTGAATTTGTTTTCCCATCCTTGCCTAGCCCAGATATAGAAGATAGTCCAGTAGTAATACCTTGGCTTCTAAAACATAGATTATGAGTAGAGGGTGATGACTGACACTGTGGTCTACTGCTGGTGATGAGAGAGAGGGGCGGGGGGGCGGGTAGGTGCCAGTAACAGAGAGGTACACTAGCTCCATGGTGCCTCCCTGCTGGGACAACAAAGGCGGGCAAACCAAGCGTTCCACAATGTCTGGTACCTACTTTGGCATAATGTGTCTGCTGGTGATTTGCATCAGCTTCTGGGCGCATGCATTGCAGACAACAACTGAAATGATTAATTTAGAAAAATTGGCCTCTTAGATAACCAACACATAGGCGCTGATTTATAACTTGCCCTCCTTTGCAATGTACACTTCCAATATTAAGGGCATGTGGCCTGGTATTGTTCGGGGCGGGGGGCGGTGCACACTTGCTTCCCTCCTTTTCTGGCCTGGTATGGTTCAGGAGTGGAGAATACATGCTCACTGCCCCCCCCTTTTCTGGTCACCCAGGCTGCTTGCCTGAATAAGGGTCTAAAATGTATTTTAAAGGGGGCCTCATGAAAAAAAAAAACCATAAAAACTGGCATTGTCCCCTCCCAAATAATTCATACCAGACTATTCATCTGGATAAGGATCTGGTTTGGATTTTAAAAGGGGTTAATGCTGTTCTTCTAAGGATCTTTTAAAACGAAGAACTTTTTTTTTGCAGTATGGAGAAATTTCATGACTAGTGTAAATTAACTCTTCAGACTTAAATGATTACTAGCTTCTGTTTTATTTCCTTCTAGCTGTGAACAGACATTACACTTGATGTACCTCTGCTGCATCCACTGCTCTTTGGCTTAGATAGCTTCATGAAAACATGTTTAGGAGATCTGGTTTACATGGCCCATCAATTGTGCAGTAGAATGCTGCTTGTTTTTTAGTTTAAACTACGTATTTGGAAATATATAGTACATATTAGTTTGTGTGTCTTAGCTAATTTTGATCTTCTGTCTGTAGTGGGAGATTGTGTCAGCCTTCAGACAAGCACAAAGGAAAGTAAACTCGGTGGCCATAGTAGTGGCAGGAATGCAAGTTCTTTTCCGAGAAAATTCAGATGTCATTGAAGATTTAAATCTTTACTTTGGAGGTATCAGTAAAAGCACAGTCCGGGCACAGAAGACTAGCGATGCGCTAATTGGAAGGTCTGTATTACTGAATACATAACGTATTAGTTATAACCCTATGGCTATGCTGCTGCTGCACAGAGGCCCCAATTAAGATGGTTCTTGGGAGGGGCAGGGGGGCGCAAACTCCAAAAAGAAAGTAGGGACTGTCCAGGGCTCAGAGGAAGTGGGTTTAATGACGGTGGCCATCATTCAACCTGGAAGAAGAGCACCATTTACTGGAGGAGAGAATTGTGGGAGACAAATCCAAATTGAAGGTGAGTATCACAGCAAGATATGCTTTTATGCTTTTTCATTTTTAAAAGTGCTGGGCGGTTGTTATTATTTTTTTACTCTGAGTTGGGGTTTTGTTGTGGTTGTTGACATGGCAAAATACTGCCTTTTTTACAATAAAATACATATAGGTAAATTAATATATTAAAAAAAAACCTCTCAGTAGCACAGAGATTGAATTACCAGTGTAGGCTTAGCCTACGGATGCCTATGGCCTAAAATGCATTGGTGGTTTTTAGCAGCTTTATAGACCCCCCTAATTTGTCAGAAATAAAGTGGGGAGTGATTGATACCTGTAAAGCAAATGATGCCCTATGATGTAAGGTTAACATCATGACTTGATCATTGTAGTGTAGGAGACCTAGCAACTGAAATAGTTTCCAGACTAAATGTTTTGTAGTAATTTGATGCCTAATATGGACTCAAACTAATGACTGTTTGATGTCTACCTTCTGGAATATTTACAAATTTGATAAAATGTATACCCAATAAGTTATAGTTCATAAGAGCTGGGGAATTGCCATTGCTCCAACCAATGATATTAGCTCAATGTTGTCACATGTGTATTGGTATAGACTATCCTGTACTCTATCAAATGTTTTGGCAGGAGATGTACTTTCAAATCTGGGTCTGAAATGTGTAACATTTGTAAGTGACACAACACTTCACAGTTTGCCTGGATTATGCACATACATATAGGAATGCTTGCTGATTGGTAATGTTGACACTAATTGTACTTACTGTTCTGGCCAGGCAGTGGAATGAGGAGGCATTGGGTGAAGCATGCAGACTAGTTCTGGATGAGATTTCTCTTGATCCTGCAGCTCCTGGAGGAATGGTGGAATATAGAAGAACACTGACTGTCAGTTTTCTCTTCAAGTTTTACCTGGAGGTGTTATATGCTCTACAATCAGAGGTTAGTTCTGTTTATATACTTATAGGCTATTCTATAGATAATATTGACCTCTTTTACTATGGTTCTGCTTGGTGTATATTCTGCCCAAACCCTAACCACCAGAGATCAATCTAAGCATGGAACAGCTCTTGACCTACCCTAAGCTTAACTGACATAGGATGTGGAAGGTTTGCCTTCTGCCAAGAAAGAAGAAAATGGACTCATGCATCAGTGGACCTGCCAGCAGAAGACTGCAGGGTTTAAGTTTTACTGTATATTGTCTTTTATTTAAAAATGAGCATGGGGGGCTATGCTATAGATGAAGTTGAGCTTTAAGGCTTATTCTGGTATGATTATGCACAGCTTATATCCAAATAAAAAGAATCTTATAGCAATTATTTCCAAAGTTTTTATTTGTTTTAGTTAACATAAATGTAATCAGGCTAAGGGTCCTCCCACGGACTCCATGCAACTACAGGATACAGTAGTGATGTAGAGATTTGTGGAAGCAACCACTGAGCAAAGTGAGACCAGCAGGAGAGGTAAGTATTTGCTTGCTTTTACTGCTTTTACCCAGCAATATCCACAGCAAATATCCCAAATTACAAATATAAAAACTATATCACTTCAATATACCCACACCTTGTCCCTCAAAACTTACGGCCATACACTCACATGCTGTAATGGTACATACAAAGGAATTTACAATATTTACATCCAAATCATGGGCAAAGAGGAGAACTTTATATAGCTTATCCATTAGTATTGAGTATTTGTTTTGTGCCACACAGGTGAGTAACCAGTAGTAATGACTAAAATCCAGGACATCCAGCAAAGTAGCAGTATATAAAATATATGTTCTGTGTGTGCCAGAATGATTTCTCAGAAGGTATTTGTATATCCATGGGGAAAATGTGTGATATTGTTATACTGCAAGTATTAAACTTCTCAAATACTGAAAGACATATGCACAAATTGTTCAGCAAATCTCACTTCATCGAAAAATAGTATTTGCATAACTCCAGTGCAATAATTCCTGGAAAATGTCAGTGGGTTCTGTATATGATAACTAAGGGCCAAACATCAGCCCAATATTCAGTTAAGCACACAGAAGCCCAGTCTAGTAGAACAAAGCCACTTCTTGTAAAGGCAATTCTGTGCCACCATTAGACACAAGAATTTTTGATGTATCAAATGAATATCGATTGGACTGTATTTACAACACTGGATAGTGCCACATATACACATGAATCAAAGATGTCATGCAACTTGATCTGTGAAAGTTCCTAAGTGAGGTCACGTACAGCTGTAAAGTATTTACTGTATACAATAGTCTGAAGTGTGTTACTCCACACTAATGTTCATTATTTCAGGAGCATGCTGCGTGGTGTACCACATAAATATCCTTCAGGGTCAGGGCCGTAGATAATTGTTTTCCCGGGGGCGGGGGGGGGGGGGTTGGGGGGTT